CCTTCTCGTCATGACCGTAGGACCCGACCTCCATCTCCCGCCAAGTTCGCACGAAACCCCACCCTCTCGCCGCCCCCAATTCTCCGTCGACTACTTGGCATTGCTTTTGCGGCAGCCGTCCACGAGCATCGCCAATGGCAACATTATGAAATTCACAACCGAAAATTAAAAAGAAGAACTCGATGACGACGATAAAGAACCAACTTTGATCAACACAGCACGCAATGGCCTACATGGCCGACCGACCACGGATGGCGGCAGCGATTTCCAACAGTGCTTGGCACATCATCCTCTGTGTCTCATCGGACGCCGCATAGTGAGCTTTTTTTACGGCAACTTCCTGCTCCAATATGTCGCATTGCCTCGTGAAGATGCTGCATTGCCGCTTGCTAGACGATTCGATCGTCGACGACATCAGTGCGCCATGGCGTTCCATGACATCAGAGATGGACTCGAATGCCTGCTGACGCGCGTTCTTTCGCTTCCCGCCTCCCGCCCCGCTGCCTACGTTGCTATCGGACTCCCTCGCAGAAGAACGGTCGTCAGGGCAGCCTTCACCGACCGCCTCACTACAAACAGACTCCCCGCCACCCGCTCCTCGCTTGGGCAGCTGCACCCCATCCGGACTGCCGGTGTCGGCAACGTTGGGAGGGAAAATCGTGTGGTTCCCCACCATGCCTGCGTGGATCTCGTTGTACAGCGCCCTGTCCATCCCGAACTTGAAGTTGTGCTCCTTCCTCTCTTCGTTCGTCAGCCTGAAAAAATCTGGCCGCCCGCTGGCATTCTGAAACCTCTGAATTTTCTTGTAGTTCTGGAACAGATTGTCCCACTTCTTCATGCAGTCGTCAGCGTCCTTCAGCCTCCCCGCATTCGCCATCCGCTTCGACATGTCCTCCCACTTCCACTCTTTCGTCTTCATCCGCCCGTAATTGTGAGACAAGCCGGCGAGGTGCATATCTTGCACCCGCTTGCATCGCACCAAGAGCATTTGGTCTTCTGCAGACCAGTACGTCGGAGACTTCCCGGTGTCGTCACTTACGCCACCTCTGCCTCCACGGCCAACGGATCGACCACGGACACGACCTCTACTGCGTCCTCTCCCCCTCCCAGCCGTCTTTCCCAAAGGCCGAATTGGAACGTCGTCGTCGTCGTCCCCCGCTTCCACGTCTTCCCTCATCCCTTCGTCTGCGTCGTCACCGAATCCAACGTCGTCTTCGCCTCCATCGCTGTGTGCCCGCATGTTCGACACTCCACGTGTTATGTTGTCCACAGTGGGTCGTGGACGTACCGGCGCTCTGCACGTTCCCTCCTCCCTCACTCCGGATTCGATCGGTGTCGTGCACGCAGGCATCAGCGAACGTGCACCGCCCATGCGCAGGGGCCCTGCTGCCACCCCGGGGGTGCGGGCCAGGTCGGTGTCAATCGATTGACGGACGGAGCAGTCGATGCATGCTGCCATCCCGCTGGCGATGGCCCGACCACGCCAGTCACGGGTGCAGCGCGACGAAGTGTGGACTGCTCCGTATGCAGACTTCCACCATGCTCAACGCCACGTGCCGAACGATCTCCATCGATGATGAACGTACGGCTCGCCTCCCTGCCGCCGCTAGAACACAACCCGAACCTCAGATCAACTCCTCCGTCGTCGTCGTCCCGCAAGCCTTGATGCAGCAATGACGTGAACTCGCCCCCTTCGTCGGGAGCCGACCCGCCCGCACGCACCGTCTGCGACCACAACTGAGTTGAGCCGCTAGCGAGGGGCAACGTCGAAAGTTCTTCCTTCTCCGGCTCCTCGTCCGACGGGGGCAATGGCGTGTCCCACGACTCCAGATGGGTGTACATGGACGGGTCGTACGGCCTTAGAGGCTCCGCCGCAGAAGATCGAACTCCTCCCTGACCTGCGGCAGCAGCCGGTCGTGCCTGCATGCCCGCCATTAGACGTTCGCCTGCTGCCCATCTCGTCGAAGCCCTCCTCTTGCGTTATTGTTTCCACGGCCGCCACGAAAAACACACGTGGAGGAAGACGACAATCAGGAAGACGACGACAGCGAATACCAGCAGAGGCAATCTCCTTCGCACGTCAGCCATGAAATTCACCTCTGCAGCCACCCTCACACGTGACCACTGCAGATGTGTGTTCCGACATGCCCGGGACAGGGGCGCTCGACCTTCATATGCGGACAACCACCACAAAAGACGACGAACACGCCCGGCTTCCTTTTGAAATTCGACTGTTGCAGCCCGCGCTGCCCAAAGCGGCTCCGTCTGTCGTCTTGCGCACGTCGACGTCCCGCTTCGCATCTCGCAAGCGACCCAACGGTCCAGTACGGGCAACCACCCGCCGACGCTCGGCCCTCCGCTCTCCACCCCCTCTGCCAACGGCGACTGTGCATGGCCGTTGCCCGCGTCGAGCCGCATAAAACCTCCGATGTCCGACCACCGACTCGACGGACCACTTCTGGACCACCAACGAGTGTCGACGGTGCCATGCGCGTGACGCAACGACTCCGTGAAACGCGGGAATCCTAAATTTTTCAGTGGGTCGGGGGCTACTGGAAAATTTAGGACGATTTTTCCTAGGGAATCCTAAATCTTTTAGGACTCGTCCTAACGCCATTTTCACATTTTCGATCTCCGATTTCGTTTTAGGACTGTATGCAACGAGGACGCAATCCTAAAAATAGGCATTTTTAGGAGTGTCTTACGAGACCCTTTGTTTTTCCTGCCCCGTTCGTTTAGAACGAAAGGGCGTCCATTATCTTTCTGGGGATTTCAAATCCCCTTCCCTTCAGACAGCGCCATGTGGCGCTTTAGATTTAGGTTTCTAAATAATATTTTTCCAAAATCTAACGAACATTTAAAGAAAACAAGAAAAAAAACCAAAAAAAAACTCATACCTTGCAGCTGAAAGGTCGCCCGTTCTTACGGGCACTGACACTGTTCATGGGGACACTAAGTCCCCATTACTTCCCGATGCGCCACATGGCGCTGTAGATCCAGTTGTTGTTGTTGTTGTTGTTGTTGTTTTTTTTTTTTTTCTGTTGGCTTATGCCAACGATCGTGTCACGTACCCACGATCTGCTGGCCGAGGTCCCACTAGCAAAATGATAGGATCGAGTTCCTGGATCTGGATGTGCTTTAAGCATAGATGCAGAAAAACACTTCAATCTCGATTCCCTACACCTCTCCGGGGTAGGTAAGTTTTTCACCCCTTCTTTTTTTCCCCTTTTTTTTCCAAAAAAAATAAAAAAAATAAAAAAACTCAGACTTTTCTCGATCTATGCGTGTCATCCTTGTGCAGGGGCTATGGCAATCCACACGCGGCCGATCTCGGCCGCACGATCTGGTAGATCGCACGGTCGAAATTGACCGCGTCACATCAAGGAGCTGAGCCGCTCCTATCAAAAGGAGCTAGCCCAGTCATGGTCGTCGGGCTTGATCCCTGAATCTGCAGGGTAATAGTCTGACGACAGTACCTACTAGGCTAGCTCCTTCTCACATCAAGAGAGGAGCGGCCCTTGTATATGAAGGGCTTCAGTGCCCAACAGGCCCCCCTCCAACGCCTAGCAGACAGTGCCTGCTAAGCCCGCTCGCTATTGTGGCTGGTTGGCTGGGTTGGTGGCTGACGACCTTAGCAGCCGCCCCACTTAGCTGGCCCTAACGCCATCACCCCGGCTCTTAGCACAAAAAACCCCGCGGACCCTAAAAACTTCCTATTCCTTCACGCTGTGGTCCCAACCTTGTCGCAACGACCCCTTTTCAGCCCGCTTAACAGGCGCGCGATCTTATTATGGGTGGAATAGGTTTAATTTCTAACGTTCTCATCTCCACACGTCCCTGTCATTCACATCTGCTCCTTCTGGATGCTACACGCGTCTAGACCAGAATCCAAAAACTTTTAATCTTCCAGTCATAGGTCGGGTCAGAATAAACTTTTGGCAGATAACCCATCTCATCAAGTTATGAAGCCCGAATAACCATTCATTAAGTCGGACATCGTCCGACATTTAAAACCACTGGGCAGATACCCTTGTTAGGGTTTCTGCCCCGACAGCACATACTACGCTTTGGATATAAATAGTTTCTATTGGTATGACTCATAACCTATCCCATTTTTAAAGCAGGATCCCTCTCAGTGCTTAAATTATCAGGGTTAAGCATAAGACACATACCCATCCTACCTAGTGATTAAGTCCATTCGACATATCTTTCTATGAAAACCCTTTAACCATAGCATACATACATGTGAAAGTGAGATAAGGCTGAGTAATTAGGCGAGGAGATGTCACATACACGTAACACATTCACATAAACAGTCCGAATTCATCAGGGAAAACATAGGTTATTGACCTCTCAAACATGTATAGATGAAATGAACATAAAATGAACAAGGCGTGTAGCCTTAGCAAATAATCATAATCTTCCTAACAATCAGGGAAAAGGCACTATGTTGGGTACTCAAACCAATCGCGCACTGATGGAATATCTGGGTCAAGGCTCGGGATAGCATAAGTTTCTCAATGGGTCATCGTGAATAGCATGTGGCTGGTCGTTTTACTGACCTGCAGACAAAACAAAAGCACTTCACAATCCTAACAGAGTCAACCATTCATTCACTTTCACACACATTACACCTACGCTTCCAAACCTTTCAACCAGACATTCTCTCTTCGACTTAGTCATTTCGAGGACCTCTTTTGATCGAATACAGACCCTTTAGACAATGACCCGAAAATGAGAAATGTCATCAGTGGAGAGGTAGATGCAAAGTGTGGGAGTCAAGGGTGAGTGAAGGTGGAGTTGGCTAACCAACCTGTTATCATACGGCAACAACATGTAGTCTTGTATAGACTCGTAATAAGTCTTCTTGATCAAGATAACCTGCAATAACACACAGGCCAACACGGTCTCAACACCTCTTTGCCGTCGACACGACCCTATCTGAAGTTCAATATATCGAAGTTCATTTTAGTCCGGAATAATACTACATCGACATAACTCCCTCTAGGCAGCCTCTCTAACCTTTTATCGGACCAATCTCTAGAGATAGTCACCTAAAGGAAGAGGAGTATAAAGCTAACATCAGTAATATTTTCTGCCTTATAATACGATTCTCCACTTAAGACATGCATAGATAAAACACCATCAACTAATTTGAAATAGAATCATAAGATAGATATGAATCACGAGGTTAAGATAGCAGGACATATCACACGGAGCCACATTCCTTCTACCTCCACCTCAGTAGAATCAGAAAGTGGTCTGTTAGTAATGGGTCGATCTTTTTTCAAGGTTTTCATTGTTTCCTGTCTATTGAGAAGATTAGTAACAGTATGGTAGACCACTCGGGATCTACTCATCTTTACTGGGCGTCCGCTTGTGATAGGGTATACCTCATAGGGCCTTGTTTCTCCTATTCACTGTCCCTTATTAGATCAAGGCCAGATGGTAATAAGGCGGGTTCTCGGAGCCTCGCTCCTCTTACTACCACTTCCTTCATCCATGCGGTTGTGCAATAGGGCAGGCATCTCGGTGCCTTACTCCTCCTACTGCTGTTTCGTATTGCAGCACCTCTGGCGGGTAATAAGGCAGGCTTCTCGGAGCCTTGCTACTCTTATCACACCGTCCGTGCCATTATTGGGATAAGGCAGGTTTCTCGGAGCCTTGCTACTCTTATCACACCGTCCGTGCATTATTGTGATAATGCAGGCTTCTCGGAGCCTTGCTACTCATATCACACTCCCCTTTTGTGTGGGCTGGTAATAGGGCAGACCTCACGGGGTCTCGCTCCTCCTATTACCACAAAAGCAGATTCAGGTAATAAGGCGGGTCTCTCGGGACCTCACTCCTCTTATTACCCCTGCTAATTTACTTCTTTTAGAAGAACCTTTGTGTCTTAGGTCAATTGAAGGTCTTAAAGTCAGACGAGTAGGTCACACGGGACCACATCCCAATGACTCAATGAAACACCTAATGAGGAAGTTCACTCGGGAACTCTCACCTCATTACGTATTTCTCAAAAGATCTTCAACTGACTTTTGACTTGAATCAGTCTAACTTAAAGAAGGTGAGCGTTAGTCAGAGTGTTTCGACAAGGATACATACATCCCTCATGGGTTAGCCAATCAATAATATCATGCATACATAACAATGTGCAATCCAATAACTTCTGCAGTAATCTCAACCTTCATCAATGTTAGAAGATCTATCAAGCAGAACAAGATTTCACGGAGTCCACATTCCGCTGGTTTATCTTCCCAAAATAAACACACACATGGTGCGACAGCCCATACGAGAGTTTCTCGTTCTCACCATGTGTTTTCAGAAACAGTTAGCCATACACAATTCATGTTAACAATCAGACAAACGAAATTGGCATGCATGCGTCTGCATTCCATCATGCATTTGCAGTATAATAAATACAAATCATTTCGAACAACTGTTCATACATGCTTCTCCTAGTTCAGATTTAATCAATAAGAAAAACAATCGCAAATTCATATATTCAGGCACAAATTTATGCATAGTAATATGGGATAGTATGTAC